TGCAATAAACACAGTCTTGTGCTTGAAATCTCCAGAAGAGAGATGGAAGAGGAGCAAACAGAATACAGCACTGGACAACTGACAGGAAACAATTCTTCAGCCTTACCCAGGGCTGCATCTCAATGCTTACATCATGTTCCTGAGGGGGGAAGCACAAAGTCCCATGGAAGCCTAGACACTGTTCAAAATACGGTGCTTACTAAAAGCATTGGCAGTATGGATGATAAAATCCCTACTCCAGAAGCCATAATCTCTCTAAGTATCTGTTGATCCAGTCAACAACTGTATTTTGCCCTTAAAGGGCAAACGGGTAAGCTTGATTTGCAGGATCACATCTGCCTGCAGCGTAAGGAACTGTTATAGACCGTCATTTGTTTTGGTCTGCGCATTCTTGGGATGAAAGGTCAAAGCATTAATTCATTATCCTTCCTGCTCCCCCATGACAATACCGTACAGGCCACTGACGGTTTGCTTAACGTTGTAACTTGTCATGACTACAGGAGACTTTGACAAATATCAACGAGAATTCAAAGAACAGAAGATTGATGTGGAACGGAGCTGGACACATCCACATTATGATTCAAATGACTACAACAGTGACATCGCCTTGTTGTACTTGAGCAGTGATGTTATTTTTAACGAGTATGCAATTCCCATCTGCCTTCCAAGCCCTAACCTTGCCACCCTGCTATCTGAAGAAGGAAGAATAGGGTTGGTAAGTGGATGGGGTGCTACGCACAACAGAGGTTCGACTCTGCGCTTCCTCATGAAAGTCCAGCTGCCCATCGTAAACATGGAAACCTGTCAGCAGTCAACAGACAGACTCGTTACTGATAACATGTTGTGCGCAGGTTATGACACTGAAGTTGCAGATGCCTGCAAAGGGGACAGTGGTGGCCCTTTCACAGTGTCGTACCATAACACTTGGTTTCTCTTGGGGATCGTAAGCTGGGGTGAGGGCTGTGCTGAAAAAGGAAAATACGGCATATATACGAGAGTATCCAATTACATCCCGTGGATTAAAGAGATTGTTGAAAGTGTAGCAGATTTGGAAAACTTTTCCATTAACTTTTCTTAATACCACCTTTAAAAACAGGGACTATTCTATTATTACAGTGTGTTTCCATCTAAGACACTATGCAGTTCCTGTCCTTAATGGTATAAAAATCAAGATTATCTTAAAAGAAACTTTTAAGTCTGTTTACCATAAATGGTTAAGTTGTTCATTCAAGTATTATTGATAAAATACTTGTGTATAATAAAGAACTGTTCTGCAAATAACACAGGAGACAACTTTTCTTAATGTAAATTCCTGTCAGAAAAGGGGGTTTGTTTAGAGGAAGAAAAAGCTTTCCATTTCTCAAGCCTACACACAAAAACAGGCAAACAGTCTCCCTGTGTGAATTACTCGCTTAGAAAAGGAAGTGCATTTCTGGTAGCATTGTCTGTCCTCTAGTTATAAAACACTGTGCTTAACAGTGCATAACAGCAGTTGGGGATCTGTGAAGTTTTGTTACTGAGTAGGACTGTTGCCTCCAGTACCATTCAGTTTACTAAAATACAAATGTTTTCTGATACAAAAACAGTGTCTGTATGGAATCACATATTACAAACTGCACTGGATAAACCCTCTGAGAGGGACTCCACCCAGCTGCAGCTGGAGAAACATAAAAGTATTGTATGGTAAAATTCTGAAATAAAT